GGTATTTTTCTACTAAAATAAAGAGAATCACACATCTCTTATTATTCAGAGGATATTTAGGAAACAATAGAAGGCACTTCTACAAACAAAAATATATTCAGAAAACAACACTTTCCATTATTCATAACAAAATTCAAACCAAAAAAAAAAATATTCTCTAAAACTCCACTCTTAAAGCTGTTAAAGTCCTAGAAAAAGAAAATCCTTGAAACATATCCTTTAAAAAAAACACGCCTATGGCAATGAAAATCCTTGAAAAATACTCTTTAAAAAACACTCCTATGGCAGTGAAAATCCTTGAAACATATCCTTTAAAAAAACCACGCCTACGGCAGTGAAACTCCTTGAAACATATCCTTTAAAAAAACACACAGTGAAAATCCTTGAAAAAATATTCATTAAAAATAAACACGCATATGGCAGTGATAATCCTTGAAAATATGACAATGATAATCATTGAAAAATATTCTTTAAAAAGCCACGCCTATGGCAGTGATAATCCTTGAAAAATATTCGTTAAAAAAGCCACGCCTGTAGCAGTGATAAACCTTGAAAAACATGGCAGTGATAATCCTTCTTTAAAATTGCCACGTCTATGGTAGTGATAATCCTTCAAAAACATGGCATTGATAATCCTTGAAAAATATTCTTTAAAAAAGCTACGCCTATGGCAGTGATAATCCTTGGAAAATATTCATTAAAAAACCACGCCTATGGCAGTGATAATCCTTGGAAAATATCCTTTAAAAAACCCAAGCCTATGGCAGTGAAAATCCTTGAAAAATATTGCAGGGATAATCTTTGAAAAATATTCTTTAAAAAGTCCACGTCTATGGCAGTGATCATCCTTGAAAAATGTGGCAGGGATAATCCTTGAAAAATATTCTGAAAAAAAGCCAAGTCTATGGCAGTGATAATCCTTGAAAAATATTCTTTAAAAAACGACGCCTATGGTAGTGATAATCCTTTAAAAATATTATTTAAAAAGGTTTTTTAAAAGGATTATCACTATGGCAGTGACAATCCTTTTAAAAAACACGACTATGGCAGTGATAATCCTTGAAAAATATTATTTAAAAAAGCCACGCCTATGGCAGTGATAACCCTTGAAAAATGTCCTTTAAAAAACACGTCTATGGCAGTAATAATCCTTGAAAAATATGGTAGGGATAATCCTTGAAAAATATGCTTTAAAAAACCCACGCCTATGTCAGTGATAATCCTTGAAAAAATATTCTTTAAAAAAGCCACGTCTATGGCGGTGATAATCCTTGAAAATGTGGCAGTAGTAGCATTCTTTAAAAAAGCCACGCCTATGGCAGTGATAATCCTTGAAAAATATTCACGGCTGTGAAAATCGTTGAAAAAATATTCATTAAAAAATCTACGCCTGTGATAATCGTTGAAAAAATATTCCTTAAAAATTCCACGCCTGTGATAATCGTTGAAAAATATCCTTTAAAAAATCCACGCCTATATGGCTGTGATAATCGTTGAAAAAATATTCTTAAAAAAATAAAATGATAGCTTTTTTTAAAACTACTTCAAAAATATCCTTTAAAATAGAAAATAGTTTCCTTTCATCGGAAATTGAATTCATATAGTTAACTACTTCGTTTACCAATCAAAATGAACGACACCAATCAAAATGAACGACTAACCACGAATTCAATATAAACATAGACAATACATGGTGAGTATATTGTGGCCAATCTATCGTACCACACCAAGAGCCTGCAATCATTCTCAAGTATGGCATTCGACTTATCATCATCCGTTGTTTTGTTTTCTTTTGCCATTGTAAAGACATGCTGGTAGTAGTGGTGATGGTGCTGCTGCTCCCGATGTGATACCAGCTGGTCGTGTTTTGTGTTCAAATAGTAAATAATGAATGTTAGTCCATTGTGGCCTTGAAATTGATTTAGTCACATCCACATATGTGGAAGTTAAATGGAATCACGGAATTTGAAGAACAACAAAACGAATGGAAATGGTGATTCTTATTTGCTAAGTTACGAGAGAATGTAAAGAACGAGGTTCAAATATGAAGTTTATTGATAGCTCTTATGGATATGTTTCTTCGGTAATTTTTTAACATTTCAATGATCCTTCTAGGAACTAACAGAATGATTTTGATAGAAGTGAATTTTAAAATAATTAAAAAACGTCTATCTACGGAATCAAGTATAAAAATTATTCCGACTTACCTCGAGACACTTCAAAATTTTTTTTTTAACATTGCAACAATTCTGAAAGAGATTAGAATTCAATTACTATAAAATGTGTTTTATTTTAAAATATTGTAATTAAATATTTTTTACACCAAAACTAAATACCATTCCACTTTATAAATATTTTCATTAGTAACATTAACCTAACATTTTCACTCAAAATAAAATTATCTTTTGAACTATACTTTCCCCTGCACCCTCGTCAAACAACAATCCGCAAAATGTATGTGAATAGCTTCAATTTCACTTTACTACAAATCCGTAGCGTTTTACGAATGAAACCATTGAAGAATGTTTGCCATAGTGATTGATTTAACCAATCACAGAAATAAACTGAAATGAGTAAAACAGAAGAAGAGGAATCTTAAGACAATTTAAGTTTTCCCCCCGTGATAAGAAATGCAAACAGACGACAGCAAATAGAATGGTGGGTAAACTTCTCAAGGGAATCCAGGAGTGTAGGTGTTCATACATGCAGCTTTGGTTCCACCCAATACGCACACACAAAGCGATGTAATCGGAAAACTATTATAGGATTTATGAAGAAGATAAAGACAATTTATGACACAATTAAACAAATGTATAGAAAATATATAGAGGTAACATAAATTCAATCAGCAGGAAGTAAACAGTTTTTCCAAATGGTGCAGTTTTTACTCTAAGCAGCTATGATCCACAATCAAAAAAGCTAAAGGGAGTTTGTCATAGACGAGCTGAAAGGAGTCTTTCATGGTCGAGCTGAAGCAGTGAGTCTTTCATAGACGAGATGAAGGGAGTCTTTCAAAGACGAGATGAAGGAAGTCTGTCAAAGACGAGGTGAAGGGAGTCTGTCACAGACGTGGTGAAGGGAGTCTTTCATAGACTAGCTGAAGCTGGGAGTCTATCATAGACGAGCTGAAGTAGGGAGTCTTTCATAGACTTGCTGAAGCAGGGAGTCTTTCACAGACGAGCTGAAGCAGGGAGTCTTTCATAGACGATACGAAGGGAGTCTTTCGAAGACGAGATGAAGGAAGTCTGCCAAAGACCAGGTGAAGGGAGTCTATCATAGACGAGCTGAAGGAGAGAGTCTTTCATAGACGAGCTGAAGCAGGGAGTCTATCATAGACGAGCTGAAGCAGGGAGTCTATCATAGACGAGCTGAAGCAGGGAGTCTATCATAGACGAGCTGAAGCAGGGAATCTATCATAGACGAGCTGAAGCAGGGAGTCTATCATAGATGAGCTGAAGCAGGGAGTCTATCATAGACGAGCTGAAGCAGGGAGTCTGTCATAGACGAGCTGAAGCAGGGAGTCTGTCATAGACGAGCTGAAGCAGGGAGTCTGTCATAGACGAGCTGAAGCAGGGAGTCTGTCATAGACGAGCTGAAGCAGGGAGTCTGTCATAGACGAGCTGAAGCAGGGAGTCTGTCATAGACGAGCTGAAGCAGGGAGTCTGTCATAGACGAGCTGAAGCAGGGAGTCTGTCATAGACGAGCTGAAGCAGGGAGTATGTCATAGACGATCTGAAGCAGGGAGTCTGTCATAGACGAGCTGAAGCAGGGAGTCTGTCATAGACGAGCTGAAGCAGGGAGTCTGTCATAGACGAGCTGAAGCAGGGAGTCTGTCATAGACGAGCTGAAGCAGGGAGTCTGTCATAGACGAGTTGAAGCAGGGAGTCTGTCATAGACGAGCTGAAGCAGGGAGTCTGTCATAGACGAGTTGAAGCTGGGAGTCTTTCATAGACAACTTGAAGCTGGGAGTCTTTTGATAGACGAGCTGAAGCAGGGAGTCTTTCATAGACAACTTGAAGCTGGGAGTCTTTTGATAGACGAGCTGAAGCAGGGATTCTTTCATAGACGAGCTGAAGGAAGTCTTTATAGACGAGGTGGAGGGGAATTTTAAATGAGTCGTGGTATACGAGCTGAAGCACGGAGTCTTTATAGACTAGCTGAATGGAGCCTTCGTATACGAGCAGAAAAGTGTCTTTATAGACGAGCTGAAGGGACTCTTTCATATACGAGCTGAAGGGAGTCTTTTACATAAGAGTTGAATGACATATTTATAGACGAGTTCAAGTGTGTCTTTATAGACGAGCTGAGGGGAGTCTTCATATACGGGCTGAAGAGAGTCTTTCATAGACAAACTATATCTTCTATATCATCAGAAATTGAAGAATTTTGGGGAACAAATTATAGAGGAGCACGAATACTTTTTACAAACACTTCACATTAATTTACGATTATAAACCAATCAGGTTAATTAAAATTTTCGCATACGATTTTTATTATTAATATGTTTAATTTTTTTTTTGGAAATCAAACAACAATAAACTAAATACTAACCACTAATGTTAAAAATTACTGTTAATAAACATATACATACAACAACAAAATAATAAAAACAAACATAATTGGAATTTTTTATTTTTACATTTACACATCATACAAATTAATGCAGAACCAAAAAATGTTCCATATAAACATGGCCTCTCCCATCTAATTATTGAAGTGGGTAATTCGAGTTTTCACACTACAATTTACGTAAAGGTATATTGAAGAATATCAGTAATGTATTTATTTATTATCTATTAATATATCATAGTAACTTAAGTCGATTACATTTCAATTAGTATTACATTAATTTTTTATTTAAATTTTGGTACCGTCTATTTGCCCAATATTTGAGTTTTTTTAATAATATTTCGATTTGTTTAAAACGAATTACAATGTATTTTTTTGGTGTGTTAATGAATATGTGATTGTTGTATTTATGTAACAAATATAATTAATACTTAAATATTATTATTTTGCGCACCAGCCGCAGCAATACCGCCAACTTGCATTTCTTCCATTTCTCTCAGCTGTGGCGGTTGTGGCATTGCACGTAAATTACTGCCGCTTCTACGCGGTGTAGATGATCTACTACCCGAACTGCCACTCGCTTGATTGTCACTCAACGCTCGCAATTGTTCTTTTGCTTTGTCCGCCAACAATTTTTGCCTTTCTTTTTCGGCTAATAAAAAATTCGGATCTTGTGAGGGACACTCAAGATGGACACAATGGAAAATTTCATTGGCTGTATTACGAGTACCAACAATACGTATAAATACCACGGGCAGTGGATTGAAGGAGAAATTCTGCCAAGATCTAGCATGTTCATTGCGTTTATCGACGACCATAACCCAATCTTTTTGATTTACTGAGGTTTCAATGTAAAAACTGTATGTCCGATCGTCACAATCCCACAAGAGCAAACGCATCGAGCCAATGATGTAGGGTTGACCTGAAATTGGAAAAATATATATATTTAATACAATTTTGGGATTAAATAGAGAAGCTGAAGAAAGACTATTTCGATGAACTAAAGCCAAACTTTATTGAGCTGAATGGGATATCTAAAGGCCATCAGAAAAGTCTTTCATAGACGTATCTTGTAGAAGAACTGATGGGTGTATTTTGAAGAGGATCTGAAGAGAGTATTTTATGGTAAATTCCAATCATTAAAGACCGGCGATACGGATTTAGAAAGATGCCGGACTTACTAAAGGGAGCTAGACGAGGAGAGAAGCAGAAGACCAACTGAACGGGGTATTTACCGATGATCGGAAGCAAGTTTTAATAGGGCAACTTAATAGACGAGCTGAAGGGAGATTTTATACTTGAAATAATGGACGTCTTTATACTTGAGCTGAAGCAGGTAGTCTTAATAGGCAAGCTGATGCTGGGAGTCTTTCATATACGAGCTGAAGTCTTTTACAGACGAGCAGAATTGAGTCTTTATAGACGAACTAAACGGAGACTCTATAGACGAACTGAAAAGAGTCTTTTACACACGAGCTGAAGGGAGTATTTTACAAACGAGCTGAAAGAAGTCTTTCATTAAGGAGCTGAATGAAGGCTTTGATAGACGAGCTGCAGTGAGCATTTAATTGATGAACTGCAGGGAGTCTTCCATGGACGAGCTTAAAGGTGTCTTTCATAGAGGAGTTGAGTCTAAAGTAGGGAGTCTTTCAGAGAGGAGTCGAAGGGAATCTTTCACAAAGAAGCTAAAGGGAGTCTTTAATAGACGAGCTGAAGGGGTCTTTCATAGATGGGTTGAAGGGAGACTTTCTTGTACGAGGTGAAGAGAGTCTTTCATAGACGAGCTAGAGGGAGTCTTTCATAGACGAGCTAAAGGGAGTTTTTCATAGACGAACTGAAAGGACTCTTTCATAGAGGAGTTGAAGGGGTCTTTCATAGACGAGCTAAAGGGAGTCTTTCATGGACGAGCTGAAGGGGTCTTTCATGAAACGGCTTAAGGGGTCTTTTATGGAGGGAATGAAGGCGGTCTTTCATGGACGGGCTGAAGGGAGACTTTCTTGTACGAGGTGAAGGGAGTCTTTCATGGTCGAGCTGAAGAGAGTCTTTCATAGACGAGCTTAAGGGAGCCTTTCATATAGGAGTTGAAGGGAGTCTGTCAGAAAGGATTTGAAGGGAGTCTTTCATAGAGGAACTGAAGGGAGTCTTTCATAGAGGAACTGAAGGGAGTCTTTCATAGTGGAGCTATGGAAAATCTTTAATATCCGAGCTGCAGGGAGTCTCTCATAGACAAGCTGAAGGAGTAGGACTATCACACCAAAAAGCATGGATTTTTAAACAATATTTCTTCAGGGGCTATCAATCAGTCCAAAAACCGTAAATTTTTAAATAATAGTTCTTCAAGGACTAGCAGACCAATAAATGTGGATTTTTAAACAATATTTCTTCAATTAATATCCGCTCTAAAATCGTGGATTTTAAACAATATTTCTTCAAGATGTATCAGACCAATAAGCCTGGATTTTTAAACAAAATTTCTTCAAGGACCATCAGATCAAAACACATAAATTCTGTACATATAAAAGTCTCCAAGTTTTTTACATAAAGAACTGCCAAACGTAAACCTCTAGCTAACTTACCCAATCTCACTAATATCTCTCCACTATCTAATTGATGGCAAGTATAGCCAGAATCCCAATCATAATCTGTATAATTGCCATTAATTAAAGCATTTCGGGTGCGACTAACACCATCCACAACCACAGCACTCATTTCAATGGTAGCCACATTTGCCGTTGGCGCCACAATATCATTAATCACTTTCGGCATATTTGTTGTATACATAGCCTCCAAGGCCACTACATGAAAGAGACGATTCACTGTGTTATAGGTGCCAACCAATTTTATATAACGCACTGGCCGGGCTGGGAAATATAGAAATTGCCATGAACGACAATGATATTTTGAATAGTCTATAACACGATCCCACTGCGTTTGATTTGGTGAAACTTCAATGAAATAGGAATATGAACGATTATCACGATCCCATAGTAATATCTTGATGTGATTTATAATACAAATGGTTCCAAGTTCTACAACAATGCCCGTTTCATTTGTATCGGAGATGCAGTGACGTGTATAACCCTTTTCCATATCATAAGATGTAACATCTCCATTGAGTAATTCGCCGCGACATTCGCCCAATATGGTTCGGGATACAAATTTGGCTGTTGCAACATTTTCCTCTGGCCACAAGGCAGCACGATAGGGTAAATATTTTGATGTGTTTTGTTCTTCGATGGCATCCAAAAGTTTGTCGGGATTTAGTATACCCGATGGACGGACCACATGCAACAGATCTTCAAGGTTCATAAGCGGTAAACGAACAAATGAAACCACCGACTAGAAGGAAAAACGCTTATTAGTAAATTTCATAAATAAAAATTTAAAATTTATATAGACCTTAATATCAACATTGGGATTGTGTTTGCACCAATCCCATACCGCAATAAAAATTTGGACCTCTGGGGCGAAAAATGAATCACGGCGTAATACTTCTTCCAAAGATTCCTATATGAGATATAAAAATAACGACAAATTAATAACATCCAAAATAAGTATTCCATTCGTCCCATACCTTTGATAAACTCTTGAAAGACTCATGTTGCAAAATATCCGCTGCATTGCGATCCATAAAGGTCAAACAAACTTTTGTCAACTTCTCGAGATTGTATAAGCGTGCAGCATCCAAAATGGCGCAAACGTTTCCCAAAGCCAAATATTGGCGCAAATAATCCGAAATTGACAATTCCAATTCCGATAGACCATATTGATTGGCCAAACCCAATGTATCCAAAATATTATCCTCATCCATTTGGGCCAATGACAAATGACCCGAGTAGATATAGCGCAGCAGAGATTTAAAAGCTTCAACCGGTACTTTAAGATGTATTTCGTTTTGTGTCGATTCAGAAAGCCCACCATACAAAAGGGCCCTAAAATATTCGCTACGAGCAGCCAGCATAACTCGATGGGCTGGTAACCTTTGATTCTCTACAATAAAGCAGACATCGGAATAGTCTTCATTAAGGCATAACTGGGCCATTTGCGAGGAAAAAAGTTCTGAAATTTGAGACAGAGGAACAATGGTCACCTTCAATATATTCAAAATGAAAAACAAAAATTACCTGTCAATTCTATTTCATCTGTTCTTGGTTTATTGGGTCGTATACCCGACATCTTTCGATGGCTATGACTGCTCATGGTTCTTTTGTTATTTTTAAAATATATAATTTTGTTTCGACCAACAGATTTACATACGAATAATGTTTGGTATTCTCGATCTTTTTTGTTATTGTTTTTTTTTTTTTGGTGTGTGTCAAAGAGTATTTTTAATTATTTTCCACTTTTTGTGTTTCTATTTTGTTTATCACTTTGTTGTCGTTGGTTTTAATTGGTGGTACACTTTTCTGTGTGTTAATTTTTAATGAGTTTTTTTCTTATCTTTGTTTTTGTATTCTCTTGATTTGGTGTGCTCACTCTTTTTTGTCGTTTGTTGTTGTAACAAAAGTTATTGTTTATTGTGTTATTGTTTGCTTTTAGCTTTTGTTTAAACAAAAACAAAAAATTTTCGATGTTTTGCAACTACTTTCCGGCAGAATTTTTTAGAGAATGAAAATGAAAACGACGACTGAAAAAATTGAAAAACGTTCCACCTGCTAACGAATGGGAGGAGAAGACAAAATGGCCGATAAAGATGAACTCAAAATGGTATAACCGAAAGTTTACGAATGAGGTGGGATAGAGACTAAATGGAAACCGTGTTGTTTACGAATGAGGTTTAAGCAAATTATGATTAGGGATAAGTAAATCGACTTTCTTGACAGTTTTATTGCTATTCACCGAGAAATTATAACATTACACAGTGACTTTCAAACTGTTTCGTGGTGTACACGGTGAAGGGATCTATAAATCATGGTATTGAAATTGTGGCAATCGAAACTTTATTATATTATAATTGAGAATTTAAGTAATAAAAAGAGGAAAACTTAAATAAGTACAGTGTTATACATTTCATGGTTTCATGAAGGAAGCACATTACATTCAAAAACAGGCAGTGAAAGAAATGCTGTGAATGAACTTTACTTCTTCGATCACGACGATGGTGGGTGCGTAGGTTCATTCACTGACTTTCTCTTTTCATTGCAAAACTTCGAACATTAAGCTCGCATCTTGATCAGAATAAAATTCTATGTGGATTCATGCATTTCCGTCAGTCTGTTTAAATCAAGATAGATATATCTATATTAAAGATAGAGCTTTGAAATTTTGCACATACATTGTTACTACTCATAGGATGTTTGGTAAAAAATTGCCTACGTTTTGGTATACCCCGAAATTTTTGGTATTTTGGGGACCTTTGGTAAGTTTTTCAACCCAATTGGCTGTAATTTGGTATGTTCAGTTTTGATGGGTAATTTTTTAAGATAGCCCCCATCCATATACGCCTATATTTGGAATGTCTTAGGTTTCGGCAGTGGGCGGATTGGTTGACAGCTTGGAGGACGGTTGTGCCTTATCAGCTTTTTACGGGCTCTTCTTTGTGCTGTTTTCGAAAGTCCCTTACCCTCAGTTGCAGTGGAGGATGCGTCGGGGATCCCTTGCTGGGTGCTGAGGGATCAGAAGTCCTAGCCACCATCTTCCTAGTATTGCTCGGGCCACTCACAGTATTCTATTTCATTTGGAGGGGCTACCATGTTGGACTTCGCATGTTATGTTGAAATTCGTCTTAATTAGAAGGAATTCCTATCCTAGGATAGCTATCGTGTTAGTCACCGTAGCGCTAAACACAGTAGTATCCAATGAGTCTTCCTCGTCTGTTAAGGGAAAACTTAAATAAGTACAGTGTTATACATTTCATGGTTTCATGAAGGAAGCACATTACATTCAGAAACAGGCAGTGAAAGAAAAGTTGTGAATGAACTTTACTTCTTCGATCACGACGATGGTGGGTGCGTAGGCTCATTCACTGATTTTCTCTTTTCATTGCAAAACTTCGAACATTAAGCTCGCCTCTTGATCAGAATAAAATTCTATGTGGATACATGCATTTCCGTCAGTCTATTTAAATCACGATAGATATATCTATATTAAAGATAGAGCTTTAAAATTTTGCACATATATTGTTACTATTCATAGGATGTTTGGTAAAAAATTGCCTACGTTTTGGTATACCCCGAAATTTTCGGTATTTTGGGGACCTTTGGTACGTTTTTCAACCCAATTGGCTGTAATTTGGTATGTTGAGTTTTGATGGGTAATTTTTAAGATAGCCCCCATCCATTTACGCCTATATTTGGAATGTCTTAAGTTTCGGCAGTGGGCGGATTTTCAGGTTTGGTTGACAGCTTGGAGGACGGTTGTGCGTTATCAGCTTTTACGCGCTCTTCTTCGTGCTGTTTTCGAAAGTCCCTTACCCTTAGTCTGCTTTTCCACAGGCAAATTTTTATTTGGCAAATACTGAGTTTGTAGGCGAGAGGGGTGCGAGGAAAAAAAACAAAAATTTGCCTGTTCAGAATTTGCCGTTCACGCAAGTATTCTATTTCACAGTATTCTATTTCATTTGGAGGGGCTACCATGTTGGACTTCGCATGTTATGTTGAAATTCGTCTTAATTAGAAGGAATTCCTTATCCGTAATATTGTCTTTGTCCCGTCAGATATCTCTTTGACGTTGACATATTCAGTGGTTCCCACTTCAACGACCAACTGCCTCCGGAGTCTCGAGTCTTCACTCCAAGTCGTGGAGATGGAATTTGCATCTTCTTCCTCGCCAGGTCATACGTACTTGCAGGACTTAACTTGATTTGGAGGAGTTACTAGGATAGCTATCGTGTTAGTCACCGTAGCGCTAAACACAGTAGTATCCAATGAGTCTTCCTCGTCTGTTAAGGGCGAGTCGTCCCAGAGTTGATTCGGGATGCTCTGGCTATAGGAGTCGGTTTCCTTAATAAGGTTGAGAATAAGGTCCGTTTACGTAACACTAAAGCGATCCGGTTTCGTAACACAAAAGTGGCACGTATACGTATCGCTGAAAAGGGTACCTTTTTGTATCCCCAAAACGTGCAGTTTCCGTTAATGTTACATTTATTGTCAGGAAGTTCATCAGACCCAGTATTCACTTCAAGGGTCAACTGCCTCCGGAGTCTCGAGTCTTTCCCACAAGTCGTGGAGATGGGATTTGGATCTTCTTCCTCGTCAGGTAAATTTAAAAATAAGTAGTCAACATTTAAACTTTATAATCATGGTATAATAATAGAAGGTAACAGCAAGTGTTGTTGTACAAAAAACGATACAACAACCACATTGAAATTTGTTGTTGTAAGTTCTACTAGTGTCAACTCATTTGACAGAAAAATGTAAACAAACAAACAAATTATCATCAAATTATTTTTATTTTGAAAATGAAATATTTTCGAATCCTCAAAATAAAAATTGAAAAACATGAATGAAAATCTTTCAAATTTATATTTCTATCGCGTCCACATCTTTCCTTTAATTGTGCCATTGCCACATATATGTATAACACATATGAAAATGCTGGGAATAGCGAGTTATTCCATGAAGAAAGATTTGCTTCCTGAAACTTTCCCAGCAGGTAGATTGAGTAAATTGAATACGGGAGCACATTTAATAAAGAACAATTTCAAATTGTATGCGTTCCCAATTTTCCTGTTGGGTGATTTTAGAATCAAATCAGCTGGGATTTGCTGTTACCTTTTATAATTGTACCATGCTTTATAATAAAAAAAATATATATCATAAAAAACTATTTTAAATGTATATATGTTTGGATAACCCTATATTTAACTCTGAGGTGCAACGCACATCCATTTTAAGCGTTGATTTAATCGCCCCTTGTAGTTGTTGTATAGTTGAGTAAACATCAGTTTGGACTGTCAGTTCTGTTGTCAAATACTGAATGTCCAACAACCATGAATATTTTCGTGGTTGCCTGATGAAAGTCGAACATGAGAGCCTACACTATCACAAAAGCAAAATTTGGACAAGAGTGCCATTCAAAAATGATAGACATAACCGGAATAATAATAGGAACATTTTTATCGTAGTAAAAAAATAGTAGATTTTTGCAGTGCAGGAACTAACCAAAACTTTTGGTTCCGTACTGCAAGAATCTACAAATTTTTAAATTTTTTTCGATATCATAAGGAAAAATTGTTATCTTAGTTAAAAATAGCAGATTCATGCAGTACGGGGACAGCTCATATGATGGAATTCAATAATCAGTTACCGTTAATATCGATATTTTTGTTTTCTTATTAGAATTCAATAACGACAACAGTCGACTTATATATCCCTATCAAAACAAGCAAAAACATAACACAAACAAAACGGTCAGATACACTAAGAGAGTGTTGTTTTTTTGCGTAGTTTTGTATTGTTTGTGAAATGTGAAAAATGTATTTATCGATTTAAAAACATAAGAAAATAATAAAGTAATGACAACATGTGTGTAACAAAATATAATATAAATAAATTGCATATATTATAAAAAACATTACGCGGAAATCATATATATATAACATAAAAATAAAATCAATGTTTTGTTTTCTCAGAGAGAGAGAGAGAAAACAAATGTTAAGAATTGCGACATGTAGAGTTCTAAGCCGTTGACAATTGGCAAACGTAGAGCCGCCGGCTCAATTGTTTATTTAAGCAAATGGATAGGAATATTGGTGTAAATGTCTACAACATTGATATTTTATTTGTTAAAATTATTTAATAAATAATAACATTTTAATAAAACCACAACATAGTTTAGATGACAAGTGAAAGCAGTGTTTTTAAGTCTCTTTTTCTCCGTTTATTGTTAGAACAACGCCGTCGACATAGAAAATTTATCGCGCTAACGCCGACCTACTTAAGTTTTTATTAACTGCGTAATTTTGTATGTCAAACAAGAGCAACAACAACAAAAATTGCAGTGTTATTTTGTTATGGATTGAATCAATTGGAATTTTTTAAATCTCGTCTAACATTATAAAAAATTCTTATTGGAAATATTATAAAAAAACGATTTATTATAGAAAATATTCCAACAGAGATATGAAAGATTGTGCCGTGTGTTTGTGTTTTTCGTAGTTGAATTGTGAAAAATCGAAGTGTTTACAATTTTATCTGTGAAAACAAGATACAACTTCGTATGTCGTCAACTTTTGTCGTTTTCTATTATTTTGTTGTTGGTGTTTTTTCTTTTTGCAAAAACAACAAAAAACACCAATACTGCAAT